GGGACGCAGCTTCTGACCCTCCTCCTCCCTCCTCTCACATCCCTGCTCCTTGGTTCCCATTTTACAGGCTGGGAAACGGAGGCTCCCGGCTGGGGCCGGTTTCCTGGTTTCTGGCGCCCCCTGGTGGCTATTACCGTCAGCACCAGGTGCTGCAGATGGGGACTCCACGCGTCGTCTATCCTACAATTCACTCATTCATTCATTCATTCATTCATTCATTCATTCATTCATTCATTCATTTTTGCCACAAATTATCTACTGAGCACCCACTGTATACCAGGCGCTGTTCCAGGCCACGGAGACACAGGAATGAGAAACACAAAATCCCCAAGCTCAATGAGGTGACAGTCTGGAACAGCAGATAAGCGGCCACAAGACACAAGGTAGTTTCAGGTGCTGATAAATCCTTCGGAAACAATATAGATTTGGTACCACGACGACAGAACGGGATGGATAAACACGGACTTAACGGATAATGCGTTCGGATGCATTAAGCGCCTGCCCCGGCGCGGTCCCATGCGACCATCGTGCAAGCCGATTTAAATTTAAAACTTTCAGTGTGGTTTTAAATGTTCTAGGAATCACAGTTCGAAGGGGAAAAAGTGACCAGGGAAGGTGAATTTTAACAGTATGGGGCGCCTGGGTGGTTCAGTCGGTTGAGCGTCCGACCCCTGGGGTCATGATCTCACGATTGGTGAGTTCGAGCCCCACATCCGGCTCTGCGCTCTCGGTGCTGAGCCTGCTTGGGATCCTCTGGTCCTCTCCCTCCCTCTCTCTCTCTCTCTCTCTCTCTCTCTCTCTGCCCCTCCCGTGCTCACCCTCTCTGTCTCAAAAATAAATAAAACATTTTAATAAAAAAAAATATATATGTCGTTTAACCCAGTACATCCGAAGTATTGTCATTTCAACGCGGAATCAGTATTAAAAATAGCGACGCGTTTTACGTTCTTTTTCGCATGCTGAGCCTTCCAGGTCCACGTGTGTCTTACACTCACCCAAACCTTGTCCTTCCGCCCCGTGGGTGGGTAGTGGCTGGAGGGTGTGGGCCTACTGGGCGCCCACTTGACAAGCACGCATTCATTTCTTCGACCTTCGAAACGGCCCTAGGAAGCAGGTGCTTCGTGTTTTCCCCACTTCTCGGGCGAGGAAACCCACAAGGCTCGGTGACTTGCCCAAGGCCACCCAGCAGGGAAACGGTTGACCCTTCCTGGCCTCAGAATCCCGGCAGGTGAGCCTGGGGCCGAGAGGCGGAATTTGCGCTCAGATCTGTCCGGTGGGAAGTGGACCGTCCCTCGGCAAGTGCAGGGGCTTGGCGGTCTCGGGTTCAAGGATGGTGAGAAGGGGGGCGGGGGTTTCCCCGAGGACCTGCCCGCGTGTCCCAGTCCCCGCGCTGACGCCAGGGGCTCAAGGTTCAGCGGTGTGAGCAGGGCGGGAGCCCGGCGTCCCCGGGCCTCTGGGTGAGCAGGGGTTAAGGCCAGCTGCTCCCACGTGAGGGCACCTTGCGACAGAGGCACATACCCAACCAGCGGCCGGGCTCTCACTCCCGTTGTGCACCTCGTCCTGCTGGTTCCACCTGGCGCGGGACAGACGTGCTTCCTCCACGCGGGAGGACAGAGCTGGGGAAACAGGTGGGGAGGACAGAGCTCAGCCCTCAGGTCCCCTCCCTACCTCCATGCCAGGCGGGCACCCAGGCCCCGGCTCCTGCCACCTGCCCCAAGGCCACCGGGCCTCCTGGACGGGTAAGTCCCCCACCCTGCTCCGCGCGGACTGACTCCCTGACCACAGGGTCCTGGGACCTCCATCACCTCCCCCGGCCGCCCAGAAAGCAGGAAACTGACACTCATGTGTGGGCGTTTGACATAGTTTCTAAGGGATTATCTGGCTGGCGGTTACTGTCCCTGGCAACCTGCCCGGGCGCCAGAGCCAGCGACTTAAAAGGGTCATTGTTGGCCCAGGTGGTGCCAGGGAGGCAGAGGAGGCCCAGGCTGGTCTCTGATCCCCCAAAGTGAGGAAGGGAGGCCCGGGCAGGGAGGGGGCCGGCAAGGCAGCCCGGCTCCCAGTCGGTGTGTGGGCCTCCCGGAGCTTCTGAAGAGACTCCCAAGTTTCCAAACAGTGGCGCCCCCCTCCCCCCCCCCCC